AGCGGATATAGGCGAAGTCGAGAGGCCGCATAATGATGCTCTAATGATAACGGCTCAAGTATCGGGTTATGAGGTGCAAAGGGTGTTTGTCGACGTCGGAAGTTCGGTGAATGTAATTTTCTACAATCGTCTCAAGAGGATGGAGCTGGATCTTGAATTAACACCTCTGCATACATCACTTTTTGGATTCAATGGTTCAGAAGTTGCACCCCTGGGAGAAACCACGCTCGCAGTCGTCCTTGGAGAAGGAGACCTACGGAACGTCAAAATGGTGAGATTCGTGGTGGTCGATGTCGAATCCGCCTACAATGTGATTCTATAGAGCCCTGTGTTGAACGCGTTTGATGAAGATCGTGTGTCCCGACTACCGATAAGCCGCTAGACCGCACCTTAAATCGCCGATAGGTGTTCTTCGAGCCACAACCGCGCCTCTTGGATCGAATAAAATTGCAATAGAATTTTGGTGGAAAACTAAAGAAAAGTGGAAGAACAAAAGTTCATATTTCTATTCATAAAATTCATGCTCCAAAATAACATGGAGAATGGCCTTTATATAGACACCAATTATATCTAGTCCTAATCTACCTAGGGAACTAATAAAGAAATAAAAAATTAAGTAGCCTAATTAATCTAGATCTCATAATGCAAGATGGAAACTACTAACTTCGCTTGCACTCCAAGTATCTCTCTCTTTCTTCGGCCGCCTCACGAACCGCCCTTGCACGCCGCCCGCACGCCCTAGTCCTTGAGGACTAGGGCACTGCCCTCCTTTGTGCGTTCGTTGACGCCCGGCGTGCCGCGCAAGCCATTACCTCCTGCGCTGACCTTAGGCGCGTGGCCGTCCGCCACGCCGCACTCCTCTAGGACTGAGGCTTTACTTGCCGCGCGTACTCCCCCATCCGGCGTGTCGCGCACGTCTTCGCTCCCGGCAGTTCCCTCGCGCGCGTGCTTGGTCACTCGCCCCATGTTGCCGCACTCCTCGAGGATTGGGGTCTCGCGCCCCATGCCGTATGCCTCCAGGATTGGGGCGTCCTGCCCCGCGCGTGCTGGGACGCCTTGCGCGCCTCACGCGCCTTTACCTCACGCGCCCGTCCCGTGTGCGTCGTGCACGTCCGAACCTGCCGTCTGCACGCATCTGCCTTCACGTTGGCCATCCTCGCACGTCTTGCGTGCATTTCCCTCGATAGTGCGCACCTCAGCCATCTCTCGTGCCAGCCTCTTGCGTGCGTGGTAAGCGCGACTTGCAGCATTCTTCAGCTGCCTAGCCACTTCCGCATCATTCTTGTCCCCTTCAAGCGATTCCTTGTCCTCAAGTGTGAAGCTCGGGAACTGATCGCGCATCTCATCAAGATCTTCCCACGTGGCTTCTTCAGGTGGCAACTCTTCCCAATCAACTAATACTTCCCAGCGATAGCGCCCGACTTTTCTTAATTTGCGATACTCAATCGCACGTTTTGGACGCACAATTTTCCTACCATCGGTCGTAGTTGCTGGTAGCTCCTCACAATACTTTTGTGCTTCTCCTGTACTTCTCTTGAGCTGCGAGACATGGATAACTTGGTGGATCTGCGAACTTTCTGGTAGTTCTAGACGATAAACTACTTGACCGATGCACTTCCGAATTTGATAAGGCCAAAAATAGCGAACTCCAAGCTTAGTTTCTGCCCTTTGTGCTTTCGTGCATTGTCTAAATGGCCGTAGCTTCAAATAAACATATTCTCCCAGTGTAATGCTTTCCTCACGCCTCTTACCATCTGCGAAGGCTTTGGTTCGATTAATCGACCCCTCGAGATTTTTCTTTAACTCTCGCAACATCAAATCTTGCTTCTCAAGCTCTCGACTAACCTCATCGTTGACCGTACTTCCTTCCAAATAATTGATCAACATCGGGGGTTTACGCCCATAAACTAGCTCGAATGGAGTCATCTTGGTTGACTCGTGATAAGTGGTGTTGTACCAATACTCAGCCCACGGCAAAAAGTTTTCCCACCTCCTTGGAAATTGATGGACATCACACCTTAAGTACTGCTCAAGAGTTCTGTTAGTTGCCTCGGTTTGTCCGTCCATCTGTGGGTAGTAGGCTGAGCTCATAGATAACTTAGTACCTTGTAGCTTGAAAAATTCGAACCAAAAGCTGCTCATAAAGATCCGATCTCGGTCAGAAACAATGGAACGTGGTGCCCCGTGCAGCTTCATCACATACTCCACGAATAGCCTGGCAATTGACTTTGCTGTGTAGGGATGGGTGATGGGTATGAAATGGGCATACTTGGTGAGTCGATCTACTACGACCATAACACCATCGAAACCATTAGAACTCGGTAACCCTTCTACGAAATCTATAGTAATGTCTTCCCAAATTGCCTCGGGTATCGGTAGGGGTTGGAGCAGCCCGCTTGGCCGACGTGAATCAACCTTGGTGCGCTGACAGTCGTCGCACCTTGCGATGTAGTCCCGAACCGTGCCTTGCTATCCTGGCCAAAAGAAGGTATTGGCTATCCTCATCCAAGTGCGGTAGATACCCGATTGGCCTCCAACCTTAGAATCATGGAAGTGCTGCATGATCTCCTCGCGTAGCTGTCCACTATCAGGAACGAACACTCGGCGTCGATGTAGTAGTAGGTTGTTGTGCAGCTCATAATCAGCAATGGTTTCTCCTGTCTCGATCTTCTGGCGCACTTCTTTGCAATAAGCATCCTCTTCTTGTGCCTTACGAACTTCCTCCCAGATGGTCCATGTTGGTCCAGTGATAGCGTCAAGCTCAGCTACATCTGTCCGGCGAGATAAAGCATCAGCTAGAGCATTCTGTCGTCCTGGTCGGTAGACTATTTTTAGCATCCAACTCGGTAATCAGAGGTTAGTCACCTCAAACCGCGTCTTAGATGGATCATTACCAGCGATGACACGGTTCACAGTCATCCACCGGTCTGCATACCGAACCGACCAAGCCATAGAAGACCGAGGTGAACCTCACAACCGAGGTCATCATGAACCGACTATGAACCGAGGTCACAACCTCCTAAGCTGGTGACAAGGCGCCTACACGCCATTTTCACAGGCCACGAGATTTTCCATCATTCCAGTGGGACCCGCTGACGATGCCGCCCCCCTATAGTAGCTTTATGCAAAAAGCATTGCACGAATCCCAATATGTATTTTAGAAAGTTACTATAAATAGTCATTCCTGATACTTGTACGGGGATCCCTGAATCGACAATTTTTATTATGAAATACGAAACAGCTCACAAAAGCTTTACACCTCGGTTCACCTCGGACCAGGGCCATTGCTGAGTTTTTATCACATATTTTACGTTCAAATTACTACAATTAATCAATTCAATCAACTTTCGATCGTTGTTAACAATCGCATAACAACAGTTTGGCGCTAGAGGAAGGGCCTCATAATTAATTTGAGGTTAATCTTCAATCTTGAGTTGTTTAGCCACAAAAACCATAGTAAACATGTCTCATTCAGACCACCATGGGTATATGTCGCGTGAAGGACATAGTCGCAAGAATCACTCAACTAGGCGTCCTCCAGTTATACCCAATCTGCCTGATTATACCACGCTCTTTCAAAATCTGGAGTTTGCCCGTGGGTTTGCTGCCTTAATGACCCAAACAGCTCCCGGAATGTCAACGACGGCACTGGGACAATCTATCATCCCAGTTACTCCTGCAAACCCGAGAAATCCATCTACCCAACGAGACGGCGGTGGAGCTACGTCTCACGCTACGTCTCAGCCTCGTAGTAGAACATCACCTCCACACCCAGATTGTGTAGCGCGGAACGCCGAGACAGTGTGCACTCATCCATTGATCCCTCATGAAGAAACCGCTGAAAGTCAATCGGGACGACCATGGCATTCTCCACCACCTGCGCGGCCTCAGGCTCATTCCCAGCCGGCTCACACAGACCTCTGTCAACAAATTGAAAGAAATCGGTCAGCTCAGCAAGAATCTACTAAACTGGAAGTGTTACGACGAAGAATTGCCGAGTTGGAAAGTCGGCAGAGGGTAAAGGAAGATCCTCCACGACGGACCTCCACTTCGGCACATGTATATTTAGAAGCCGACTCTCCTTTAACACCTGAGCTTACCTCGGAACCTGTACCGGAAAAAGTCAAAGTCCCTCAAATCAGATTATATGATGGCACGTCGGATCCTGACTTACACCTCGGTCACTACACATCATGGATGGATCTCCATGGGGCCTCGGACACACTTCAGTGGCGTATGTTTTCTCTTACCCTGGGGCCTCGAGCCCAGAAATGGTACCACTCTTTGCCTCCTCATTCTATTTGGAAGTGGCAATAGCTGAGGTCGGCTTTCCGATCTCACTTCATCGGGGCACAGGTTTGTTTAGTTCCAAAAGAATCCCTTGCAAATATGACTCAAAAAGACGATGAAAGCGTCAAAGGTTATATTGCTTGCTTTAATGACCGAGTTCAGAATATGGAGCCATGTCATCCCGAAACCTTTCTTGTTATGGCTATTGCGAGGTTGAAACCGAACTCTATTTTTCGCTCGACATTATGTCAGAATAAGCCAAACACCTTCCAGGAATTCCTCGCCCGTGCCCAGCAACATATTATTGCTGAAGAAGCGATGTCGGTCCCTGATTTTAATTTCAATCCGAAGTCATCCAAGTCAGGAACCGACGACAGGAAGAAAAACAAATCATTTGACAAACAAAATAAAGGGTCAATTCCGAGGTTACCCTCGAGGAGACGCCAACGACTCTGAAATCAGGGCTGCTCGGAAACAGTATGCTACTGACGTGAAATCCAGTTATCAAACCGTGTATTCAACTGGGGCAACCACCATATATGAAGAAATTAAAGGAAAGGGTATCTTGCCCGACCCCAAACCACTTCGGATGCCTGAGGAAAAGTTGGATAAATCTCGATACTGTGATTATCATAAATCACCGGAGCACAACACTGATGAATGCCTAAGTCTTTTGGCTGCCCTTTTATGTTTGATTGGTCATCTGCAACTCCAGAAGTTTTATCGTAACTCTGATGTCCAGAAACAGGGTCCGGGACGTCCAATTGAATCCTATGATGAAGATGAGGATGAAGACCGAGGTGCTATGCCAAAACGCATCCGATAAGGAGACAAAGAAGTGTTCATGTTTACCACGGAGACGATCAACACCGAAATAACTATAAACTCCCGAGGACGCAAACAAAGCCGATCTCCTAGTCTGATGCAAATTACCGTCCATCTAGTAAATACAAATAAATCCCGAAGTACCTCATCTCGTCGACAAGTTAAAGCCTACACCCGTCAAGCCTATAATTCGGGCAAGCATGTTTTCACCATGGATCTACGAGACGTTCTCAATGCCCGAAACTGCCCCATGACTTTCAACATGGAAGATGCAAATCATTTTGCACACCCTCATTCTGACACACTCGTGATCACCGTTCCAATATGTGGGATCCCGATTCACCGTGTAATGGTTGATACTGGGGCCTACTAAAGCATTTTAATGCTAAAAGCTTTTGACAAGATGGGTCTTGACCCAGCGGATATCCGACCTTGCAATGATCAAATACAAGGATTTAACAGAAGCATTTCAAAGCCCGTCGGCGGAATCACCCTGCCTATTAGATTTGGCACGCCCGAACATGTAACCAAACTTGTTATGGAAACTTTTAAAGTTCTTGATATCAACAACGAGTATAACGCAATCATCGGAAGAACTGCTTTGTACAAACTCCGAGCTGCCGTTTCCATTTTCCATTATGCACTTAAGTTCCCGACGACACGAGGCGAAGGGACACATTATGGAGATCATAGAGAAGCTCAAGAACTTATCACTTTCATTCCGTCCACTGGAGTCCACTCCGCCACTTCGGTCAACGAAGAAAATTCCTTACCATTAGCCACTTCGGACGATACACCTTCCGAGGAACCGAGTCATGAAGTCGTTGTCCCTGTTACTTTTGACCCCTTATCTGAGGATCGAGGGAGACGACCCGGAAAAGAACCAATTACAGAAGAAGATGAATTGGACCTAAGAACTCAATTCAAAGAGAAAAGTCTAAATGATCGAGCCGAACCCGGAGAAGAAGTGGAGTTAATTTATGTCGACGAACAAACATGTCAGAAGTCGTGTCGCATTGGGAGTCATCTTCAAGAACCTCTCCGGTCTGAACTCATCTCGTTTCTTAGAAGTAATTCTGATGTTTTTTCTTGGAAACATGAAGACATGAAGGGTATCGACCCCGGCGTTACTAGCCACAAGTTAAATCTCGACCGAACTGTCCGGCAAGTTGTTCAAAAGCGAAGAAAATTAGGGCCGAATCGTCAGAAAGCATTGGAGGAGGAAGTCAAGAAACTCATCGACAACAAGTTCATTAAGGAAGCTAAGTATCCGACATGGGTCTCAAACCCAGTCCTTGTCAAGAAAAGCAATGGTCTTTGGAGGTTGTGTATTGACTTCTTCGATCTGAATAAAGCATGCCCAAAAGACAGTTATCCTCTTCCTCACATAGATTATATGGTTGATGCCACCTCGAGACACGAGCTGATGAGCTTTATGGATGCTTATTCTGGGTATAATCAAATTTCTATGGATCCCGAGGACTCGGAGCACACCTCGATTTATTCGGCCCGAGGCTTATACTGCTATACCATGATGCTGTTCGGGTTAAAGAACGTTGGGGCCACTTATCAACGTCTTTTCAACGAGATGTTTGCCAATCTGATAGGTCATACCATGGAAGTCTACGTAGACGATATGCTTGTCAAGTCGGTGCATGCTTCTGACCATGTTACACACCTTTAAGAAATGTTCGATATTCTCCGATCTTATTCCATGGTCTTAAACCCTAAGAAATGCACCTTCGCAGTCGAGTCTGGAAAGGTTTTAGTCTACATGGTCAGTCAACAGGGAATCGAGGCCAACCCAGCCAAGATAAAAGCCATTCAAGATTTAACTCCCCCGACCTCGGTCAAGGGTGTTCAGGCCTTAACTGGCCGATTTGCCGCGCTTAATCGGTTCATCTCTAAGTCTACAGATCGTTGCAAACCTTTTTTCGAAGCAATCAAGAAAGTAAAACACTTTGAATGGACCGAAGAATGCCAAAACACACTCACCAGCATTAAGGAAACTCTTGCTTCCCCTCCGACATTACAGAAGCCGAAACCCGAGAAAATGTTGTTCTTGTACCTCGGAGTTAGTGATTTGGCGATCAGTGTTGTCTTGATACGTGAAGAAGGGATGTTACAGTCGCCTATTTATTATGTCAGCAAGGCTCTACATGATGCCGAACTACGCTATCCCTCTATGGAGAAGTTAGCGTTTGCACTTGTCACTGCTGCTAGGAAGTTGCGACCTTATTTTCAAGAACATTCCATTATTGTCCGCACTTCGTATCCACTACGACAGGTCCTACACCGACCTAACACCTCGGGGCTATGATAAAATGGGCCGTTGAACTCGGACAGTTCGACATTCACTACCAACCGAGGACTGCAATCAAAGCACAAGTCCTATCCGACTTCATTGTCGAATTCACGCCGGCTGTAGAAGCTCACGATGACAACCAACCATGGGTTCTCTACATTGACGGATCTTCTACAGCAAACCGAGCAGGTGCAGGAATAGTCTTGGCTAATCTGGAAAATCAATTGTTCTGCCATTGAGTTAAAAGTTTTTTTCCCGCTACCAACAACGAGGCCGAATATGAAGCTTTGATATCCGGGTTGAATTTAGCCGAATCCATGAACGTGAAGTATCTCAAAGTCTTCTCAGACTCATAACTCTTGGTCAATCAAATCAATGGCTCGTATGAAGTTAAGGAACCTCGATTGACACTATATCTATCCTTGGCAAAACGGAAGTTATCGGAATTCTCTGCCGATGTCGAACACATTCCCCGAACTCTTAATGTGCAAGCAGATGCATTGTCCCGACTAGCCTCGAGTACCGGGATAGAGAGCATGGAGTATGTCCAAGTCGGTCAGCAAGAACAACCGTCGACCCATCTTTCTAAAGTTGCGACCATCGATCTGGTAGCATCACGAAAACCTCCGACTTGGATGGACCCCATTATTCAATACTTGGAAACTGGGGCCTTTCCTCCGGACCGTAAAGAAGCTCGGGCACTTCGGACTCAAGCAGCTCGATACATACTGGATAATGGAACCTTGTTCAAAAGAGGATATTCGGTCCCACTTCTAAAATGTTTGGCTGAATCCGAATCGCGATATGTCCTCGAAGAAGTGCACGAAGGAATTTGTGGAAGTCACCCTGGTGCATAAGCCATATCCTACAAGATTTTGCGACAAGGATATTACTGGCCGACCTTAAAAACCGATGCAGCTGCATGGGTCCAAAAATGTCCGAAGTGCCAACTTTTTGCACCCAATACTAATCACTTCCCCGAAGAGCTCAAATCAATCTACAGCCCATGGCCATTTGCTAAATGGGGAATCGACCTCATCGGTCCCCTACAAACTGGAAAAGGCGGCGTCCGATTTGCCGTAGTTGAGGTCGACTACTTTACTAAATGGGCTGAAGCCGAACCATTGGCCATGATAACCGAACAAAAAGTTGTTGACTTCATATGGAAGTCCGTCATTTGCCGTTTCAGAGTACCGAACTCGATTATCACCGATAATGGTCGCCAGTTCGAAGGCAAGCGGCTTGAGTCTTTTTGCGAAGAATATAACATCAAACACTTCTTCTCTTCAACCTACCATCCACAATCCAATGGCCAAGTTGAAGCTGTTAACAAGCTTATAAAGAATGGCCTCAAAGTCCGACTTGATGCTGCTAAAGGAGCCTAGCCTGAAGAGTTGCCGCACGTCCTATGGGCCTATCGAACAACCATTAGGACTTTCACTGGCGAAACTCCATTCTCACTAACTTACGGCTCAGAAGCCGTGGTCCCAGTCGAGCTCGGTGAACCAACTTACCGAATTCAGCATTTCACCGAAGAGTCCAACTCGAACAACATGAAAGCCAATTTGGACTTGCTTGAAGAACATCGTACCCGTGCTGAACTCAAGAACGCCGCTTACAAACAAAGAAGCGAGAGATATATCAATTCCAAATTCAAGACTCGTTCGTTCCGAGTTGGCGAATTAATTCTCAAACGAATAATGGGGCCTGACCCCGGTCCACTTAAAACGAAGTGGGAGGGACCATTCCAGATCATTGAGGTCATACCCCGCGGGGCATACCGGATTGCTCGTCCTGATGGAACTCCACATCAATAATCGTGGAATGTTGTATTCCTAAAGAAGTTCTTCTACCAATGAACGATCCGAAGTCAAACGGACAACTCCCTTTTGATAGTTCCTCCTTTTGGCCTTCTGAAGGAACGAAACTATTCTTGTGATGTAACAAAAGTTTGAAGACTTTCACTTTTGAAATCCGAGTTACAGCTCGGTACCGATGTAAAATATTTTGACACTCGGTTCTATTACTATTTTATGCCGATGTAAACATTGCGACACTCGGTCTCGCTGATACCCCGTAATACATCCAAATCCCACGCATGGTTTGGTTGAGGTTGAAGCTTGTCCATGTCACTTCAGCAAACATGATTTGATGGGTCTCGCTAATAACCAAATATAAAATAAACAACTCGGTTGGGGCCACTTCATAATCGGACTTTGACGAAGTTCGGTGAATCCTATTTGTTTTATGCACGACATAGAATGTGTTAAGTTCTGCAGATTCTTAGTAAATTTGCATACCAACTTACACTATTAGCCGAATTCATTAAAGAAGATCAATGTGGAACTCGCAATTCATTTTTTTATCAAAAAGGCACAACCCGGTTAAAAATATGAATAAATTGGAGTTCAAAGGCAAAGTTTTATATATACACTGAGTTCATTACACTTGGTCTAAAATTTGCTGACATTGTACAGCAAAACAAATAAAATTGAAAATCAAACAAATATTTTTAATTTATATTATAAAGTCGGGAAAGTTCATGAGTAAATATTTCCTACTAAGGATGTCAACATGCTGACACCCCGATTACATACTTCAATATAATAAAAACATAAAAATATTAATGTTCAAAAGCTTCAAGCAGCATCGTCTTTATTGCCTCCATCTCAGCCATTGCCGCTACACTGTCCGGCTTCTACTTCTGAAGACAACTGTTTTTAGAGTCGCTCCAAAATAGCTACTTCTTTTGCCTTGGCCGCAACATCAATAGCTACATCCGACACCGGGACGAGCTTGTCACGCGAAACCTGCACTTCATCAGATTTGCCCTCAACCAGCGTGACTACTTTGCTCCCGATTTGCTCAGGGGTCATGTCGTCAAAGTTTTGCTCCACTTCCACGTCGGCAAGAGTCGTGACGTAGATATCGGCCAGCT